CCAGACCGCCGATGGTATCCTAATCCAACTCCGTTTCTATTTACTATATCCCTGGCTACTTGACATTGGGAGTTTTTTATGTCTACATGACGCGGTAATCGTTTATGCTGTGGCTTGGGCCATGTGTCGCTTACACTTGTACTTGTAGCGCACACCTCCCGCTCGTTTAGTAGTAATCCGAACATGACATACTTTCAATCAACTTCTTCTTCTTTCGTTCCAGAAACATTGCGCTACATCTCCAACTCTGTGTGTCGGCTTTAAGATCGGCATTGGAATGGAAAGTGGAGCCGCAGTTCCGGCAGATTAGAGTGCTGCAGCAGCTACATGTAAGATAGCGGACAAGGCAGCATCGACACCGTTGGACTTGGCAATGAGCCATCAGATTTGTGACTTCACCTCTCGCTAACTCGATCTATGGCCTCAGCTGATCTCCCAACACTAGCCGACGACGATTCGAATATCTGCCGGGGAAAATAACCGTAGTGCACGAACCTGAAAAGCGGATCCTTGGAATTTACGTGAGAGGAATTAGTTCAGCTGTGTAAATGATGCAACGGCTGGGGTCAATGCCGACGGTTCTGCAATTTTTTTAGTGTAATAACGTGCTAGGCAATTGGCACCCTTACGGGCTCGAGCCAGAGTGGGGTCGGGCTGGATCAGGTCAACTACCATATAAGTACAATAACCCTCTTCATACACGAGTGACCGAACCACCTCAGACTTCACTTATTTATTGAATATGTCAAGGATAACCGCCCAGAGAACCCGAATCAGACGAGCTGAAGCACAATTTCTTCCTCTACCTCATCCAGCACGCACCCGAGCGCTTGACACCCTCTTAATCTCTAGTTTATCTTTTACGTTTAATCCCAGTCATTTTTCATCCCAGCGTCTCCTCAGCATCCAGGAGTTGTTTGCTTCATTAGATGCCTTATCCAGCCGCCCACTGAGGCATCTTCTGTTTTTCTTTCTTTTCTTCTTCAATTATCGCTTCTCCTAAAATCTTCTGTCAATATCGCCATCGCAGAAACTTTGTAGAATCTCCATCCCTCCGGCTTTGCCCGTCTCTACCGTGCCCCTAACCGTAGTGGCTGGATATGGGCCGAAGAACCCAAGGCACCTATTACTCAGCCTTTGTTGAATGCTCCAGTTAATGTGCCGGCGGGATATCGAAGGTATTCCGCTAGTGGCGATTCGTCGCAGATCGAGGTATTTGAAAAATTTAAGACAAGTACTTCGACCGTACCTTTACAGGGCACGACAGTTACGACGAGATGGATGCCCGCTTGTAGCTTAGATTTAAAGTATAACTTTTGGATCTTGGAGTGCTTTGATAGGTGGTGAGATGATTGAGTAGAGGATCGCGAGATGAATTAGCTGGGAAAGATCTTCCAGAAAAATTCGACATAATTAATGTAATCAGTTGATTTAATATGAACTTCAGATTGATTATGTCCTGTCTGTGGTTCGTATTTGGGGTGTAGGTGATCGAATTCGTTGTGTTATGAGGTCGGATTTTCGACTATAATTTTGCCGGCACCATTACTCTCGATGCACATCTCGACGAAGACCCTCGGATACACCTTTTATCTAGACTGAATCTCGGTTCTGGCAGTATATTTTACTCCCAAATTCATATAGGACACCACTGATAGATGTTCAATCTTCGTCCTCCGAATTTGCGATTTTGTATTCTGGCTAGACGATTTTTGAAAAACAAGGGCGATGTGTGCGTCAAGCTTCGTCTGCGGCAGTGCCAACGACGCTATTAAATTACCCTGACTAGATGGTGTAGTGTTACAATATTTAGGCTAGCCTCCCAAGTAGGGTCTATGTAGCTATGAAACCTATCCAACTTGAGACGTGAGATCACTGGGCTGATTCTGGCAAGAATAAGTCGCATTTTCGCGGTGCTGATGTGGATTAAAGATGAAGGCATGCTGGGATAATTAAAGGATTTGGAGTTCTCTTTGGTGGGTTCTTAAGGAGTGTTGAGAATTTAACGTAAGAAACACACCTCTATTTTAAATCATTTAGTGTACATTCAGCTATTTAATATGTCACATGACCGGTGCTATGTATACATGATGGATGACTCTTTTGAAGTTGGAGACACTCATGCTCTGGATTTTATTTGCATGTAGCACTGTGAGGTTTGCTTGCTTACATTAACAGCCGACCCTCCTCCGTAAGCACCCACCAAAGAGAATTTAAAAACTTTGATTATCCAAGCATGCCAGCGCCGCGAGAATTATTGTTTAGTTTTGCCGAATTCCAACCAGCGATCCTCTGTCTCAAGTGGGATGTGTGTCCTAGCTATCCAAATCTTTCTTGGGAGACCAGCCAAGATGATGTACCACTGCGCCATCCAACCGCGACGGTATTTATGGTGTCGCCTACACTCTCCTAACAGAAGTCTTGGCACGCACAAAGCTCAATTTGTAAAAACCCCTTGCAAGAAATTACATATTTGGGGTCCTTCAAGGTTGTATCCGTCTTCTGCATCATCCTGTGATCTTGACCTGATCCCACTCACAACCCTCTCAAATAATCGTCTCCCAGGTTTACGCGCCACGCTTTTTCTTTCTTCTTCGGGTATATATGTGGGCGTGTATTTGGTGGTCATCTAAGGCCAGAGAAGCTCGAAGAGGTATGTTCATTGAAAGGGGAATGTACTAAGTCGTGCCTGTAAACTTGATGAGGTAGAGAGTCTTGAACAATTGCCTCGCAGGCCGACTTGTTTGGTTTGGCGAAATTTGACTGAACTTGGGTCTGGGGGAGTATTTTACTCCCAGATTCGTAGAGGAAACCGCAAAACGTTGCCTTAGCCCTCCGAAGCACACCTCGGAGGTATTTGCGAATGAAATACAAAATAGTAGCATATCTACCACTACTTGATTCGTCCAGAATTACTCCAAGAAAAGCTGCACTTCAAGCCCTGATGTCTGTTTTTTACATTTTCAAAAAAAAACCCCAGATCGTTAATCAAGTCACCCATGTCTTAATAGTCTTCCACACCGTCTAAATTGTCCCGATCTCACACCTTCCATCGACTTTCCCGACCCATTCCTGTGCCTCTCGCTGGGCTCTCTGCGTTGCTATGCATAGAATCTCTAGACGATTGCGAGAAGAGCCTTCGGAACTTGTAGCGTAGGCTAACAAGTACGCTAACACCTGTGGCCTTGACCTGTCATCACCGAGATGCGATCAGCAGATCTCTGAGCTTTGCGCCGCCTGTCCCAAGTCGCTAATGATGAGCCATATGACTGGTAACTAGTCATTGTAGTAGCTGCTGCAATGTGGCACGGCAGCGCTTAGCGTCGAGTCTTGAGCACACCTTAAGGCATATGGCTGTTAATTTATATGATAGCTAGCGCCAGTACTGGTTATTGGTTTGCGTATCCAGAGGAGATGATGGGTTACATTGTCGTGTCGGCCCAGGGCCAGGGGGTAAGCTAATGCAAGCATTGAAGGTTTTTCCACAACTCGGTAACCTCGATGATGCGTCTATTCAGCTGAGAGCTGAATAAACCTGCATGAGCAGCCTGGAACTAGTCAGCGAGAAGTGCCACTGCTGCCGCCTCTTCGAGTCCAGAATGGCTGTCGGGTTCGCCGACCGACCTGGGTAGGAGCAATGCGTGAAGGCAACCATAGCGGTGTGCAGGCTTGCTGACTAGACGGGCCCGACGTGTATGGTAGGTTGAGGAGCTGGCAGCTGTGTATCATGCGTCCAAGCTTTTGAGGGGAGGAGGGAGAAGTTTGCTCGTTGCCCCGAAACGTCACCAAGGGTAGGCTGGCAACAAGCGCCGCCCAGCCCTTGCGCGCTACTGCTATGGCCGTCGTCGTCTGGCAGTGCGAGCGCGGCGAGGCCGACGAACAGACAGTTGCACACTGAACGGTTCACGCCGCAAGTTTTTCCACCGCCCAACATGTCTTGCGTGTCGAGCATACACACCAATCCGCCTCCATTCCGAGCCCTCTCATCAGCGCCTGAAACGGCGCGCGGATACAGTGCTCGGACTTTAAAGCTCATTTTTCCGATAGCAGGGGAGTGCTTCTTTTCTTGATCCGTGCCGAGCTAGTCTACGTAAATTTCCGCAGCCCATTCCGGTAGAGGAACTAGGGATTTGATAACGGCCACCGCGTCGACAACATCGTTGCTGAAGACAACAACAACAACAACAACGGCAACGCCCCCAAAAAACCAGAACAACAGCGACAGGGCGTGTTGAATTTGATCAGTCAACATCTATGCCGCTCGTCATACATGTGCAGGCACAGGGTAGAACGGCCTCACTTGTGATTCCAATGCTGGTACTCTGACATGGCCGAATCCAGGCGAGGGTGCACAGTCTATTTCGGCCGGACGAAAGTATAGGACTCTCAGCTACCTCGGGCCACAAACCAACCCATGACTCCTCTACGCCTCTCCCATCCCAAACATGCTCCAATCTCCCTTTCTGCCCTCTGTGGAAGCTCCCGACCACCAGCTCCTATGGTCTGACCCACCATGGATTGCCGGTCAATGACCGTATCGAGAAATTCTGGTGCTGTGTGATTCTATGGCGACGAGGGCATGTCGGGCTCCACTGTGGGTAAAACTAGCCTTTACACACTGAAGGGGAACTACTGCTTCTACTACTGCTAGCCGTGATCACAAAGACCGAGCCTTCCCTGGGGCGCTGATTTATGCCGCCGCCACCACCTCTTCGCGTCCGCCATGGTTCTTAATTCTTGCTTCACAACCGGTTTTGGCTGCCCACCCTCTCTTCCTGATCGGTCCTAATCTCAGAACTATTAAGGTTTGGTCTTGCCTCATTTCCATCCGCCATCCACCCCAAGACCTTCTCATCACTATCATCATCGTCATGTTCCCGCCAGAAAGCGACACCAAATTCAGCGACTCGAAACCTCCTGTGCCAAGCTCTGCACCGGACTCTGTTCAGGATGTCGAGAAAGATAGCCCCGGATTGAAGCGGGCTCTCAAAAGTCGACATATGCAAATGATAGCGATTGGGGGCTCTATTGGGGCTGGTCTGTTCGTTGGCTCCGGAGTATCATTAACCTCTGGGGGTCCCGGCTCTCTTGTAATCGACTTTATGATCACTGGCTTTATGCTGCTTCTGACTCTAAATGCCTTGGGAGAGTTGGCGTGTGAGTTTCCCGATTCATCATCCGATGGGCCCGGTTTCCCGCTCCCGTTCCACCCCCGTCGCTCATTTAAGAATTCCCAACTTACAAGTGCCCGTAGGTATTTATCCCGTTGCTGGCTCCATATACAGCTATTCATCCCGCTTCATCGATCCAGGATGGGGCTTTGCTATGGGCTGGAATTACGCCATGAACTGGATGGTAGCTCTGCCCTTCGAATTGACTACAGCTGGTATCACTATCGCCTTCTGGACCGACCCCAACGACACCGGTAAGCCATCCATAAACACAGGTGTTTGGATTGCCATTTTCCTAGTCTTTGTTTGCGTCATAAATTTCTTCGGCACTAGAGGCTACGGTGAAGTCGAGTTTATATTGGGTGTTCTAAAAGTAATGGCCATTACTGGCTTCATAATCGTTGGCATCATTATTGACTGTGGAGGTGTCCCGACTGACTCCCGAGGCTACATCGGTGCCAAGTACTGGAGTGATCCAGGCGCCTTTCACAATGGCTTCAAGGGCTTCTGCTCCGTTTTCGTGGCGGCTTCATTTGCCTACGGTGGAACAGAATTGGGTGAGGCACTAGGCTATCAGCTCTCCTTTTCAAACCTCGCTAACTTAACAATAGTTGGACTAGCTGCAGCCGAGTCGGCAAACCCACGAAAAACGATTCCCAAGGCAACAAAGCAGGTCTTTTGGCGGATCAGTCTCTTCTACATCTTATCATTGCTTATACTAGGCCTGATAGTCCCTTCCAATAATCCTAATCTCTCCAGGGCCTCGGATCGAGAGACTCGATACTCGCCATTCGTCCTCTCTTTCCAGCTAGCTGGGATCAAAGTGCTTCCGTCTATCTTTAATGCTATTATTACCCTCAGTGTCCTCTCAGTTGCTAACTCCTCTACGTTCGCATCGTCTCGAACAATACAAGCTCTATGTGCTAATGGCATGGGTCCCGCAATCGGGGCTAAAGTCGACAAGAAGGGCCGTCCATGGGTTGTTATGATAGTAGTCCTTCTCTTTGGCTGCATTTCTTTTATCAGCGAAGCTCCTGATGGTTCTATTGCCTTTACCTGGCTTCTTTCCATAGCCGGCTTATCCAACTTTTTCACCTGGGGCTCCATTTGTTTCGCCCACATTCGCTTCCGTAAGGCATGGGCCCTTAATGGTCGTTCCACTGACGATTTACCTTTCACTGCTATGTTTGGCATTATCGGATCTTGGATTGGCCTTGGTCTCAACATACTCTGTCTTATTGCTCAATTCTACATAGCTATATCCCCCATTAGTCGGAAAGCTACAGTTCAAACCTTTTTTGAAGCTTACCTAGCCTTTCCTGTTGTCTGTGTCTTCTTTTTAGGCTACAAGATACATAAGCGCCAGTGGACGGCTGGCGTCGATCTCTCTTCTATCAACCTTGATGAGGGCCGCCGAGAGCTAGACCTTGACGCCCTAAAGTCAGAGTTGGAGGCTGAACGGCAGCTCAACGCCTCTTGGCCGTGGTGGAAGAGACAATGGCATTTTTGGACATAGGAACTCTTCGGATGCTGGCATCGAACCATCGATATCTTTGTAAATACAGTAAAAAATAATTAATAATTGCCTATAATTCATGGCCACTGACACCAAATCTCTCAGGATGATACAGCTATCTCTTCTCCAGACTGATATTAAATTCACCGGTGTAGGCCTAAGGTCCCTTGTAGCCTTCAATTTAGATGGGTAGAATCTGCTCCGCTACACAAAATAAGATTTTGGCGCTCCTAGTCCTGTGCCGTGGTGAAAAGTGCCACTAACCGAGAAACGTAGATTTCCTGCTATGACGAGATAGGCATACATTTTTTTGGCGTGTTGGGTGCCAGTCAGTATCAGTATATAAATCAGTTTTTGGCCTCAAGGAAATTTCCAACTGCTCACTCATGGTTCCCCTCTTCCAATTCCATCCTCAATCTTCGGATGGTGCGACAAACCACCGTATTATTATCAAATCTAACTATCGTAAATTTTGCTTCTTGCTTCCTCTAATCATTTCTGACCGACAGGTTAGCTAACCATGTCTTTTAGCGAAATTTACGCTTCTGCCAAAATGGAGTTAAATTGTCATTGTACACTGGCTCGAATTGAAACATTTTATGTATGGAAATGCATGACTAATGTAATGGACAATTCTGTACGATCTAGATTACTCCTTTATTCAAATGAGACCTAGGCCCACAAACTTGTTTCGCTCGTACAAATTGGATACAGAGGCAATCACGAACCATCACCGACAATTCTAAAATATAGTAAATGCGTCATCAACAGTTCGGGGGTTCTACATTTCAACACGCTAGGGAATTGCACTGTCCACACTTTTGTAGGAGCTCGATCGGACCAACTAGCATTAAGTACATAAACTTCTTCCGACCAAAATAACCGGACCAATGCAGGCTTTGATTTTTGTTTCATTTAAATGTATATCCAACAACACAGCTACAATCTATGATCATATCAAGGAAATAACGACGCGCCAGTCATTGAGGTTGTAGAGCGCATTCATTCAAGTGAGTACCAAAGTGAAATTTGGAACAGAATTTGTAATCATATTTGTAATCATATTTGTATCAACAACGTGGCCTACTTGATAGTCCCAATTATTGTAATCTCTAACAGATCAGTGCTACATGACTATTTTACCTGTATCTTTGTCTCCAAACACTGTCATGCACTTAATCACATTCGCAAATACTTCCAAGGTATGTTTGCTCAGGCTGTCGACGTTTCTCGGTGAGTATCTACCAGAGGGAAGTTACAAAACGTTTAGCTGTTCAGGCATACCTTGGTCACATAAGCACACAGGCACCATATGAAATATGGTGAAATCTTTCTGGATTCGGACTAGCCATTTCCAGTCTCAGATGAGATATGTGACCAAGCTGTCCAGACTCTAATTAAAGGACCAATCCAGATGGTGTATCGTTGCTCCATCCAACTATGCTGGTTTTTATAGTGCCGCATGCATTCTCGCAATTCAGATCATGGAGCCCAAGATGCTACTCGATATAAGAAATGATTTCCTAATGTCCGATATTCCACTCCCATCGAGATTGTATCCACTGTTTATAATGTGTAGTCTGTGGGGACTACGATGCCTGGTGTGTTGGTTGTGATAGAAGCATATCAGTGCTCAGACACCTAAATCCTGTGCATGGGAGAATTCTTCACTCCATGAGTTGTACATGGTCTTCGGCACATAACAATTAGACTACAATGTTATCACGTCCTGGGTATGATGCTAATCAGGAGCTTCCGCCCAATGACTACCGTAGGCTTACAATCACAACACCATAGCTAGCATCATCTCGTCCACTTGCTCTGATTTCTCTCACATATATGATAAAGATCTGCCTCCCGGATTTGTGCACAACATTTATTTATTCGGGAGGGCATTCATATTCTTGTGGACGTATATGTAGAGGCCGTTTTAGGCCAGAGAGTGATCTGACGGGAGTTTTGGCCGTCGCATTAAAGCAGTACTAGCGTCCGTGTAGTCTTGAGAAGCTTTGGGCAGAATACACCTTGTTGGGAGTGAAATATTGACATTGTGGATATTCTTCAATCATTGCCCTGTGAGGCAACTTGTTCGAAGTTGTGAAGTTTGAGGGCATCTAGCTCAGGGATATCATTTCATTCCTGGGCCTTTTTCTTGCATCAGATTTTTATTGCGTATGCAGCTATCTAGCTATGACACAATTTCAAAGAAAAGTACATAATAGATGACTCGTTGTAAATGTATAATTCCTAGGCTTGTAGGACATCGCTGACGGAAGGCAAGACTGAACACCTGCTCGCAGTGTCCTCTACGAACACGGGAGTGAAATATTATCTCAGAGCCAATTTCAGTCAAATTTCGCAAAACCAAATAAGTTGGCCCGCGAGGCAATGATTCAAATTCCTCCTCCACGTCGTTTTTTCGCTCCCAACGAGTATGACTACCACCTAAGGCTCATCAAGCCTACAAGTACGATTCAGTGCATTCTAATCCCAATGACCACACCTATCTTTGACTTTTTCTGGCTTCAGCCAGTCGCCAAATACACGCCCACGCCGATATTTACACCCGACGGAGGAAGCAACGCGTGTCGCACAGATCTGGGAGACAGTTCTTTGGGATGGACGTGAGAGGATACAGGACAAGTTGACAAGATGGTGCAAAAGAAGGATGTAAGCTCGAAGGGCGTGAGTTTCGGAATTTTGGCAAGCAGTTTTACGAATTGAGCTTTGTGCACGACATGACTTCGCTTGCGAGAGTGCAGCTGACACTGTGAACACAAGTCAACGTTGAAAGGTGCCGTGGCCCGCCACCTGGTGATGTTTTCTGGTATGGTTTGAGTAGCCTAGGCACCTACTTCACTTGCAAAAGCGACATCTCAGATCACATTTCGCGCGGAGATAAGTTAATGGATGATGGAGGCATGTCTGGGTAACTCAGGGTTTTTGAGACGTTTCCCTGGGTGGGTATTCCCGGATGAGGGTTGACTTGGGGTGAAGAAAAAGTCACCATAACTTCGCAATGGAACTTGCAAACGAAATCCGAGGCATGAGTGCTCTAGTTATAATCTAGTCTTCTACTATAAACTTCTCTGATATTGTATCGTAGCTAAGTAGCTGCATATGCAATTAAAATCTGTGCAAAAAAAGGACATCGATGACAGGTGCTTGGTCTTCGTCCCCCTCGTTTCGGCTTGTCTCACAAAGTATTATGGTACGCAGTCCGTGCATTCATCAACTCCCCTACCCTATGGCCACCGGCTCGAGTTGGTAGTGGATTGAAGTGGGGCGAATATTCGCTTCAGGGGTTGTGCCTCTGTTAGCGCCCATTTCGTCAGGGTACATAATTCTTGTCCTGGGCTTCAAGGCCTAAACTAAGGGCACAATTTGATTTCAGGTCACCCTCAGGTTTATGCAAATCTACCCCATATGTATGCAAGTTATTTTCCACCACCTCTGTCCGCCAACCACTGAAAGATCATATAGCTCTTTTAATCATGTGCTTGACTGATAACAAGATTTGGATTTCTCAAAAACAAAGCAGTCTATTCAGCAGGTTCATGGCTTAACTCGATACTAACCTTATTTTGCAGATGAATCCACTTCAAACCCCAACGTCAACATCTCGATTCAAACAACTATCCAGAGATCAAGATATGTAAGTAAGGCGAAAAAGTAAATATGAAAGAAACTATAAGACTTATGGGCTCTATGAACCTGGCAAAACCTAGACGCAGATTGCCGTGCAACTAGGCATTTCTCGGGGGCAAGTTAGTTATTCACGGCGCCGCGAAACTATCTCCCCAAAAAAGAGAAAAATAACATCCTCAAGTCTGAAAGCAGATGATGTTGATCAGATTGTATCTTACGTTGAGTCTTCACCCGAAAACCGCCGCAAAACATTTCTGGAACTCGCCTCTGGTCCCTTGAGACATCATGGTGTTAGCGAGCGGGTAATACAAAGAGAACTTGAAAAAAAAGTTATTAACGACATGTGGCTCGTCAAAGGCCTCCAGTATCTCAGAAACTATGAAGACACGCAGAGAATGGGCCAAAGCTCATCTCAATTGGACATATGAGGACTGCACGCCAGTTTTATGGACAGACGAAACTTGGGTAGAGGATGGAAGGAATTCTAGAGAATGAGTGACATAAAGCGTTCTTACATTCCTTTTTAAGAAGATAGTAACTTGATGCTCTAACATTATGGGCTAGACTTCCCAAGAATACAACGCTGATTGTGTTGGAGAAGTATGGAAAAGGGTCGGCTGGATATTCTGGGGTTGTTTCGCAGGGCCAGAAAAAGTCCACTGTTTATCTTGGGAAAAGAAGTGGGGATCTATCGACTCCCAAAAATTTGCGAGAAGATAGTTCCTCTTATCCATGGCATGGTCTCGATGAGACCTTGGCTTTCCGTAATGCGGGATAATGCTCCTGCCCACACAGCCGCAATTACAATGAAAGATACGAGCCAGAGGCTCATTCAACCGATTTTCTGGCCGGCCAACTCGCCTGATATTAACCCGATTGAAGCTGTTTGGAATAAGATGAAAGATTACATCCAGCGTCATCATCCGAATCTGGGTTGCGGAAAGCAGCGAACTCAAGATGGTCTTCCGAAGATCTTGTGAGACTAATTCAGAGTATGCCAGCAAGATGTCAGGATGTGGTAGATGCGGATGGGGGACCAATCAGATATTGAGGCCTGAAAATATTCCAGCCACATGTTCAGATCTAAGGTTAGGATAAGACTGGCTCTATTTTGTAATTTGAAAACCTTTGAACTCTTGTAAATAAGTTATAAAGTCAAGTAGCAGAAAATGCACAAATGTTATGCAGCCGATCATTATACCAATTTGGCTTAGCACGAAGGAAAGACACACTGCAAACTATGGTGTCCAGATAAAAACTGCCATACAAAATTTTTCAAAAATTTGCACAAATACGGGGGCTAACTCCAATATGGAAGGTGACTATGCCTAAGGCTTCTTAGTTTACACGGT